CCCCTGGAACGACCTCAGACGTTGCGACTACGTACTTCCACGACGCGGGCCTGCCGGGCTCTCGGTACCTCTCCTGGGACCTGCATTCCGCAGCGGGTCGCTGTCGCCTCCCAAGGCCCCACACTCAGCAAAAAACGCCCGTGGCCATTTCCAACGACACCGGAGGCATGGGTTCCCTCGTTATTAGTCATACACCTCTTACCACCCTGGGGCCCGAAGGGCGACGGCGAGAAGACGACGAACAGACGACGCTGACGACGACGATGACGATGACGACGACGAACTAACGCCGAACTGACGACGACGACGACCACCACGACGACGACGACCACCACCACCACCACCACCACGACAACGTCTCTGAAGCTATCTGGAGATGTCCACACACACCCGAGGCCCACAGGACCCAAAAGCGTCAACGAACCACGATCGTCGACTGTCGAACGACGACGACGACCACGACGTCCGCAACGACCACAAAAACAACCACCACGATCACGACGACGACGACGAGCGCCACCACGACGGCAACGACCACGACGACGACGACGACGACACGGACGACGACGACAACGACGACGACGACGACGACGACGACAACATGGACGAGGACGAGGACGACGACGACGACGACGACGACGACGACGACGACGACGACCGCGACGACGTCGACGACGACAACGACGACGGAGACGACCACGACGACGACACGGACGACAACGACGACGACGACGACAACGACAACGGACGACGATGACGACGGCGACGGCAACGGCGACGGCAACGAGGGCGACGACGACGACGGCGACGGCGACAGCGACGACGACGACGACGACGACAGCGACGGCGACGGCGACGGCGACGGCGACGGCGACGGCGACGGCGACGTCGACGACGCCACCGACGCCGACGACAACGACGACACCGACCACGACGTCGACATCGACGACGACGACGACCTCTTCTGGACGTCCGTAGAGGTATCTGGAGATGTGCAGGCACCCCTGAGGCCCACAGGACCCAAAAGCGGCCACGAACCACGATCGTCGACTGTCGAACGACGACGACTACGACCACGACGTCCGCAACGACGCCGCCGACGACCACAACGATCACGACGACGACGACGAGCGCCCTCACGACGGCGACGAGCACGACGACGACGACCACCACGACAGCAACGACCACGACAACGACCACCACCACCACAACCACGACGACGACGACGATCACCACCACGACGGCGACGACAACGACGACGACACGGACGCCGAGGACGACGACGACGACGACGACGACGACGACGATCGCGACGACGACGACGACGACGATCGGACGACCACAACGACGACCACCATCACAACGACGACGACGACGACGATCACCACCACGGCTGTGAGGACCACGACAACGACGACGACGACAGCGACGACCACGACGACGACGACGCTACGGACGACAACACGGACGACGGCAACGACGACGACGACGACGACGACGGCGACGACGACGACGATCGAGACGATCGCGACGACGACGACGACGACCACAACGACGACGGAGACGACCACGACGACGACATGGACGACGACGACGACCACGACGACGACGATGACCACGACGACGGACGACGACGACGACACAGACGACGACACGGACGAAGGCGACGGCAACGGCGACGGCGACGGCGACGGCGACAATGGCAACAACAGCGACGGCGACGGCCACGACGCCGCCATCGATGACGACGGCAACGACGACGACGACGTCGACGACCGCTTCTGGACGTCTCTGGAGGTACTTATCTGGAGATGTGCAGACACGCCTGAGGCCCACAAGACCCAAAAGCGGCCACAAACCACGATCGTCGACGTTCGAACGAACGTAACGACCACCACGACGACCACGACGACGACCGCCACAACCACGACGACGACGATCACCACCACGTTGACGACGACGACGACCACGACGACGACGTCGACGGCGGCGACAACGGCACATACAACGACGACGACGACGAGGACGAGGACGAGGACGACGGCGGCGACGATCGCGACGACGACGACGAAGACGACGGAGACGACGACGACGACCACACGGACGCCGGGGACGACGACGGCGACGATGGCGACGACGGTGGCGACGACGAAAACGACAACGACGACGGCAAGGACGACAACGACACGAACAACGACAACGACAACGACGACGACGATCACCACCCCGATGACGACGACCACGACGACGACGACAACGACAACGACAGAGACGACGACGACGCCGACGACGACGACGACAACGAGAAAGTTGAGGACGACGACGGCGAGGGCGACGACGAGGACGACGATCGCGACGACGACTCGGAAGGCGGCGACGGCGACGGCGAGGGCGACGATGACACAGACGACGACACGGACGACGGCGACGGCGGCTGCGACGGCTACGGCGCCGACGACGCCGACGACGCCGACGACGACGACGACGACGAAGCCGACGACGACGACGACCACTTCTGGACGCCTCTGGAAGTATCTGGGCATGCCCAGACACCTCTAGGGCCCACAGGACCCAAAAGCATTCACGAACCACGATCCTCGTCTTTCGAACGACGACGGCGACCACGACGACCGCAACAGCCACAACGACGAGCACCGCAACAACGACGACTGCGGCGGCGATCACAACCACGACGACGACATCCACGACCACGACGACGACGACGACGACAACGACGACGACGACAACGACGAGAACGACGACGACGACGCCGACGACACAGACGACGAAACGCACGACGAGGACGGACACGACCACAACGACCACACTGACGCCGAGGAAGGCGACGACGACGACGACGACGACGACGGCGGCGACAACGACGACAACGACAACGACGACGACATGGACGACAACGACACGGTCGACGACAACGACAACAACGACGACGACGACAACGACAGCGGACGACGACGACGACGGCACGGACGACGACACGGACGACGACGGCGACCACGACGACCGTGACGATGTCGACGACGACGACGATGATGACGGCACGGGCGACGACACGGATGACGGCGACAATGACGGCGACGATGACGGCGACGATGGCGACGACGACGACGACGGTGACGGCGACGGCGACGTCGACGGCGACAGCTTCGGCGCCGACGACAACGACGACGCCGATCACGCCGACGAAGACGACGACGACGACGACGACTGCTTCTGGACGTCTTTGAGGGTACTAGTACCAGGGGATGCCCAGACACCTCTGGGGCATGCAGGACCCAAAAGCATTCTCGAACGACGATCGTCGACTTTCGAACGACGGCGACAACGACCACGACGACCGCCACGACCACGACGACGACCACCACAACAACGACGACGACGACGATCGCCACCCCGACGACGACCACGACGACGACGACAACGACAACGATACGGACGACGACGACGACGACGCACGGACACCGACCACGACGACGCGGACGACGACACGAACGACGACGACGACGACGACGACGACGACGACGACGACGACGGCGACGACGACGACGACAACACGGACGCCGAGGACGCCGACAACGACAAACGACGACGAGGATGCCGACGACGACTGCGACAACGACGGCAACGACAACGACGAGAAAGACACGGACATCGACACGGACGACAGCGACGGCGACGGCGACGGCGACGACGACGGCGACGGCGACGGCGACGGCGAATGCAACGGCGAAGGCGACGGTAACACGGCGAATGCAACGGCGAAGGCGACGGTAACGGCGACGGCGACGGAGACGGCGCCAACGGCGCCGACGGCGCCGACGACGCCGCCGCCGCCGCCGACGACGACGACCACGACGACGACGATGATGACGACGACGACCGCGACGACGACGACGAAGACGACGACACGGACGACGGCACGGACGACGAAGGCGGCGACGGCGACGGCGACGGCGACGCCGACCACGACGACGACGTCGACGACGACAACGACGACGCAACCGCCGCCGCCGCCGCCGCCACCGCCGACGACGACGACGACGACAACGACGACGACGACGACGACGGCGACGACAACGACGACGACGACGACGACAACGACGACGACGACACGGACGCCAGCGACGGCGACGGCGACGGCGACAGTGACGACGGCGGCGACGGCGACGGCGACGGTGTCGGCGACGGCGACGACGACGACGGCGACGGCGACGGCGACAGCGTCGACGACGACGGCCGAGAGGACGACGACGACGACAACGACGACGACGACGACACGGACGACAACGACAACGACGACGACGACGACGACGACGACCACTTCGACGACGACGACGACGACGACGACGACGACGACGACACGGACGACGACACGGACGACGACATAGGCGACGGCGACGGCGACGGCGACGACGACGACGACACGGACGACGACACGGACGACGACACGGACGACGACGACGACGACGACGATGACGGCGACGATGACGACGACGGCAGCGGCGACGAAGGCGACGACACGGACGACGACGACGGCGACGGCGAAGACGACGACGGCGGCGACTGCGACGACGGCACGGACGACCGGTGCTGCTGGCTTCGGGGGGCGCTCCTGGCGTCGCGGAGCTGCTGCTCGGCCGCCTGCAGCTTCTCCCGGCACCCCTGCTCGGCGGCGGTCAGCGCCTGCCGCTGCTGCCGCAGCTCCTCGGAGGCCCCTCGGCCGCCCGCCACTCGCCCAAGCCCGCCCCTCGCCACCCCCTTCGCCCCCAGCCCCTGCCCCCTCGCCCTCCTCCCCCTCGCCCTTCGCCCAGCCCTCCCCCTCTCCCCTTCGCCCACCTCTCCCTCGCCCCCCCGCTGCCCCCTCGCTGTCCCCTTCGCCCACCCCCCCCCTCGCCCTCCCCTCCCCTCCCCCTCCCCCTCCCCCTCCCCGTCGCCCTGCCCCTCGCACCCCTCCCCCTCGCTCTCCCCCTCGCTCCCATCCCCCTCGCTCCCCCCTCCCCCTCCCCGCCTCCCCCTCCCCTCGCCCCCTTCGACAAGTACACATTACGAATACTGCTCCCCCTTCTCAGCTGAATCTATATACATGGAACATGTTCGGCCCATACCGCGAGCTGAATATTTACATACAGGATTTCCACGACGTGTTGTGTGTTGTTCGGTTGCATATAATCCGGTTGTTTTCGGTGTTTCAAAAGTGCGTTCTGCCCCCGTCGTTCAGACTGGCGTTCTCGCCCCAGCTCGGGCCACTTTTGCGGACCCGAATCCTTTCTCATCGTTCTCGCCCCCTTCTGTTCCCCTCCTCTGCCTTCCCCTGGTCGCCTTGCTCCTCCCACTCCGGTTCCTGCTGCTGCTGTTCGTCCTCGTCCTCCTTCTTCCCCATCCTACTCCTGTTCCTCCTGCTCGTCCGATCCTCCTGCTCACCCGCCGCCTTCTCCCCCCCTTCTGTGCACGCAGATCCCCTTTTCCAGATCGTGCACAGCACGCTGGGGTCGTCGTTTGAGAGCACGTGTCGGCTATGGCACGCGCCCGCGGATGAAGAAAGATCAGCCCTCTGGGAAGGGACGGAAGGGAACGAGAGATCCGACGTCGGACATGGAAGGAGCGCACCTCGCGTGCTCACCCCCCCCGTCGCCTCCCCCGTCTCCCTCGCCGCCCCGCCCGCCCCCGCCCCCGCCCCCGCCCCGCAACCAGAGCCCCCTCCTGAGCCCGCGCTGGTCCTCGCTGCAGCGTTAGGTTTGGGCGTGTCCCCCCCTGCAGACAGCTCTTGGGCAGAAAAAGTATATGCTTCTTTAGACTTAACAATGACGAGAATACACAGCCGTGACAAAAGTTTCTTCCATTTGCTATGATGAAGATCTCTCCCATCCTTCTCAAGACTCCTAACATGACATGATGCTGGGATCATTCGGCGGAGTAGTTTCCGATCCCGGAGACGTTAATAACTCTGTTACCCCAAAAACGGGATCTGAAACTACTCCGCGCCAAATCATATCAAGTATGGAGCGGGGTGCGATTGCGCGCGGAGTAGTTTTAGTAAAACTACTCCGAACTACTCCGCGCGAGCGCATCATTCCAAAAGGCAAATTGAAAGAAACTCTCGTCACGGCGATGTAGTAGGAAAATCGTCCCCAGCGCATTGTTCTGACCATCTTTGCATACCCCTCCTGTAGAGGGACAGGCCCGACTTCACTGCCGCGCCGTTCGACTCTGACTGCACGCCAGGGGGGCACGCTCAGGCCCCTTTGTTTTGCCTTCCTCTCTCGGCCGGCGGCCCCCTCCTCCTCCTCCGCCTCCTCCTCCTCCTCCTCGTCCTCCTCCTCCTCCTCCGCCTCCTCCTCCTCCTCCTCCTCCTCCTCCTCCTCCCCCTCCTCCGCCTCCGCCTCCTCCTCCTCCTCCTCCTCCTCCGCCTCCTCCTCCGCCTCCGCCTCCCTCCTCCGCCTCCTCTCCTCCTCCTCCTCCTCCTCCTCCGCCTCCTCTCCTCCTCCTCCCTCTCCTCCTCCGCCTCCTCCTCCTCCTCCTCCTCCTCCTCCGCCTCCTCCTCCCCCTCCTCCTCCTCTCTCCTCTCTCCTCCTCCTCCTCCTCCTCCTCCTCCTCCTCCTCCTCCTCCTCCTCCTCCTCCTCCTCCTCCTCCTCCCCCTCTCCGCCTCCTCCGCCTCCTCCTCCTCCTCCTCCGCCTCCTCCTCCTCCTCCTCCTCCTCCTCCTCCTCCTCCTCCTCCTCCTCCTCCTCCTCCTCCTGTTAGCGAGCGCGACGGCGGGGGGAGGCCGCCGAGGCGAAGACGGGCACGAGAAAGCAGAGGCCTCGGACGCCCGAAAAAAATAGGCACTCGGCGGCGAGCGGGGGGGGGAAGTTCGGGGGCAAGCAAACATGGAGGGAGCACCAAGGATGCAAGGCACCCAGAGCGCGCCAAAGCAGAGGCGCGCCCTTGCAGCTGCGAGGCAGAAGCCCTGCAGAGGATGCCCAGCACCGAGGAGTGCAAGGGTCGGGGGCGCGCAAACATGGATTAGCGATCCACGGAACTGGCGCGCGGTCGCCAAGTCCATGGATCGGGAGAGGTGCTCCCAAACTGCGCTCGGTGCCGCCTCGTTCGGCGGCAGAATTCCGCGCTTCCCACGGAAGCAGGACCCGTCGCTAATCCACGCCCCCTGAATCCATGCTTGCGATCGCCTGAAAGAAGACAGGGGCTTGGACGCCCGAAAATGGGCGTTCGGCGGCGAGCGGGGGGGGAAGTGAAGAGGAGAATGCATTCTCAGAAGGTGCGGAAGTCCCCCCGGGCTTCTGATAAGCTTTCTGAGCCTTCCCCGAAGGCTGGAGCAACGTCTTAGAAGGCGCGAGGGCTTCGGAGAAATCCCGCCGCCTTCTGAGAAAGCCTTCTCCTTCTCACTTTCCCCCCTCGCTCGCCGACAAGGTACGGAAAAAACGGGTACGATGCGCAAGAGCAAGCGCTGTCCAAAACCGAGAACGGCCGCCGTTGGCCAACCGATCTTCTGCCTCAGATGCACAACAGCAGCCGCTGCGACGCCGATGGCGAGCCCTGCTCAGATTGAGCATGGGGGGCCACACGCGAACTCTACCACTACCTCGCACGAGTTCTGAGGGGTAGGGGTAGGGTTCGCATGTGGCCCCCTAGACCCTAGACTAGAAGCCACTGCTGTTGGGCATTGCACCCACAGCTTCCGTACCCAGTCTGGTCCCCCCGCAAGGGGGGAGGCGCGCGCGCTCGCATTGCGCGGGGGGGGTTAAGGCTGGGGAGGAGGGCCCGTGAGGGAGCCGCGGGCATCGAGGGCGCGCAAGCATGGACTAGCGATCTATGGACTTGGCGCGCGGTCGCCTCATCTATGGATCGGGGGAGGAGGTGCCCTCCCCAGAAGGCGGCCGGCGCGCCGCCCCGTTCGGCGGCGGGCATCCGCGAATTCCACTGGAGAAGGGACCCGTCGCTGAGCCACGCCCCCATTGATCCATGTTTGCGATCGCCTGAAAAGGCCCCCCTTGACTCCCAAGGCTCGCCCTTCACGCCAGTCCTGAATTTGGGGAACGGGTCCTGAGGCAAACGGGCCCTGGACCCCAGGGCCTTCCCCCAGGACGAGATCAGATCTTCGTCCTGAGTCGTTTTCTAACAGTCCCGGGGCCCGTGGAGGGCCCCAAGAGCCCGAAAACAGCCAAAGAACCTCGGGACCCGTTCCCCTCCTCCTCCTCCTCCTCCTCCTCCTCCTCCTCCTCCGCTCCTCCTCCTCCTCCTCCTCCTCCTCCTCCTCCTCCTCCTCCTCCTCCTCCTCCTCCCCCTCCCCTCCTCCTCCTCCTCCCCCTCCCCCTCCCCCCCCTCCCCTCCCCCTCCCCCTCCCCTCCCCCTCCTCCTTGATCCATGTCTGCGATCGCCCGAGGTCCGACCTCGGCGCAGCTTCGCGTGCGTGCCGAGGCGCAGCGGGCAGGGGTCGAACGAGCAGCCCACGGGGGCGCATGCGCTCGGAGCGCGAAGCGGCCCGCGCGGCTGGCGCGGGCAGCCTCCTCCCTGGGGACAGGGCTCCGACGCGCCGCGCCCGAAGCTTCGCTCGCCGCCTGGCCCCTGGAGCTCGCCATTTGGGGCCCCCCCCCCCCCCCAGGGATGTTCTCCCGTCGAGGGTCCCTTTCCTCGAATGGCTCTGGGGTCCGTGAAGAGGAGGAGGAGAAGGACTGACTGACCGACTGACCGAGTGACTGACTGACTGACCGACTGACCGACCGACTGACTGCCTGACTGACTGACTGACTGACTGACGGACGCGCCCTGACACGGCGAGATCCCAGAAATAGACTACGGTCACAGTCTTCCAGAGGCTCGTGCGACCCTGGACAGAAATTCGCGACAGCAAGAGGAAGAGGATGAAAAGAACGAAGAGGAGGACGACGACGACGGACAAGACGACGACGACGACGACGACGACGACGACGACGACGAGGACGACGACGACGACGACGACGACGACGACGACTCAGACAAGGACGAGGACGAGGACGACGACGACGCCGGCGCTGAGGACGAGGACGAGGACAAGAACCACGCCGGCGCCTGGGACGAAGACGAGGACTGAGGACCACGGCGGCGCCGGGCACGGGGACGACGGTGGCGCCGGGGACAGCAGCGACGACGAGGACGAGGACGAGGACGAGGACGACGCCGACGCCGACAACGACGCCGAATCCGACGACGACGCCAACATCGCCAACGTCGGCGACGACGACGACGACGACGACGACGACGACGACGACGACGACGACGACGTCGGCGACGACGACGACGGCGACGACGACCGCGGGCTCCTGGTTGGCGCTCTCCGCCTGCGTGGCGCGCTCGAGGGCCTCGCTCAGGGAGCGCGTGAGGCCGGCCTGCGCGGGGCGCCGCCCGGGGGCCCCGCGGGGAGGGCGGGGTCCCCACCTTTTACCATCGCAGCGGGGCCCAGCGGCAAGGCGAGGGAAAGACAGACGAAGACGACGAATAGGGAAACAAAAAGTGGCACAAGCATAAAAACTCGGAGGTCCGCGCGGATTTCTCGGATCGGCGCTGGACTCCCCACTCTGGCGCGCGGAGCGCGCCAGGGGAGGCGCCAGAGGCGCCGCCGGGGGGCCCCAGCGCCGATCCGAGAAATCCCCGCGGACCTCCGAGTTTTTATGCTTAGGTCACTTTTTGTTCCCCTAACGAAAGAGGGAGGGGCCGGGGGGGCGGGGAGGACGCGGCAAGCACGCAGCCCGCCCGAGCTGCGAATCAGTCCGGTGGCCCTGGGCGCTGCACCAGGCGCGCCTGCAGCGCCTCGCGCCAGGCGGCCTCGCACCCGCCAGCCCGGACGACGGGCAGAAGCAGCAGGGCTGCCGCCCTAGGCGGCAGCGCGGAGTCAAGTCGGGCCTCTCCCTCTACAGGAGGAATAATCAAAAGTGGCCAAAAAATAGTCTGGGGACGGTGTTTTTACTATTTCTTGCAATGTTACAATAGTTGTTGACTATTTTTCGCGACTCAACCACAGAGTCAGAATCAGCCATGAGGAATTGGAGGCCGCCCAAGCGGGGTCCGAGCAGGCGAGGTCGGAGAGCGGCGCTGCCTGGGGGATGCAGCATGCAATGCTGGGGTGGAGAAAATCGAGCTCCAGATCGAGCCGCATATCTGGTGCGATCCCCGGACCCCATCTACTCTTAGGTCGGGCATGTCCCCCTACATGCGGATTCTGGACGACAGAAAGAAAATAGCCCAGACATGCCCAGTAATGGTGAGAAAAATATAGAAAAAAACGTCCCCCGACGAGTTGTTTGCTATTTTTTGAATTTTTCCTCCTGTAGCTATAGAGGGACAGGCCCGACTTACATCTACGTCAGGTTCGCGTCGTGCCCACTTCGGCACTAGTTTCTAACACCGCGAGGATCGTTCAACCTTGAACGGTCGGCCGCTTCCAACCCGTCCAAATCGTTCCGCATCGAACGATACTGGGTCGCCCGCGGTGTTCATAATTGAACGCCACTGGCGGGGTCGCCGCTGGTCGACACGACACGAACCTACCGTACTCGAACCCCGGTGGGCGGCCTCTGGAGGAGGGAGCACCAAGGATGCAAGGCACTCAGAGCGCGCCAAAGCAGAGGCGCGCCCTTGCAGCTGCGAGGCAGAAGCCCTGCAGATGATGCCCAGCACCGAGGAGTGCAAGGGTCGGGGGCGCGCAAACATGGACTAGCGATCTATGGATTTGGCGCGCGGTCGCCAAATTCATGGATCGGGGGAGGTGCCCTCTCCAAAATGCGGCCAGTGCCGCCTTGTTCGGCGGCGGAAATCCGCGTTTCCCATGGAAAAAGGACCCGTCGCTAATCCACGCCCCCTTGATCCATGTTTGCGATCGCCTGAAAGGGCCCCCTTGACTCCCAAGGCTCGCCCTTCACGCCAGTCCTGAATTTGGGGAACGAGTCCTGAGGCAAACAAGCCCTGGACCCCAGGGCCTTCCCCCAGGACGAGATCAGATCTTCGTCCTGAGTCGTTGTCTAACAGTCCCGGGGCCCGTGGAGGGCCCCAAATGCCCGAAAACGGCCAAAGAACCTCGGGACCCGTTCCCCTCCTCCTCCTCCTCCACCTCCTCCTCCTCCTCCTCCTCCTCCTCCTCCTCCTCCTCCTCCTCCTCCTCCTCCTCCTCCTCCTCCTCCGCCTCGGGAGGCGGGCCGCATGCAAGTGCCAGAGAAGCGGAGGAGAGGAGGAGCACCACGGGTCGAGGACCCAAGCTCTTTCCGACGCTTTCTCCGTTGAGGTGGCCTATGAGGGCCACTGGACACTCTGGAAACCTCTGGCACCCTCCAGAGCCGATGGGAGCCTCCAGGAGGCAAAGTGAGGAGAAGGAGGGGCAGCCGTCGCCGTCGCCGTCGCCGTCGCCGTCACCGCCGCCGCCACCGTGGCCGTCGTCGACTTGGGGGGCCTCCAGCTTCGCGCGCTCCTCGGACGCGGCGCGTTGTGCCTCGGCGGTGGTCCGCGCGTGTTCCTGGAGGGGGGGGGGCGGCGGGGGGCGAGGGGGGGGGCAGCACCTGCGGGGCGCGCGCGGCGATCTCGCGAAGAAGCCGTCGCCGAACGGGGGCGTGGCGCGCAACCCGTGTTCCACGACTAGCGCTGAGGGGTTGGTGGCAAAGACTACCGCTTCCACCACCAGCCACCCCGAACATCGCGAGGAAGAGGAGGAGGGCGGACGAACGAACGAACCACCACAACGGACATCTGCCCATGCCTGCGAAGACCAGGTGGGCGAGGCCACGGCCTCCTGTAGACATGCAATGCAGACGTGCAGTGGAACTGCGAGGCCTACCAAAGTTAATGAACTGAGGGGGAGGGGGGGGAGAAGGCGGAAGAGGAGGAGGAGGAGGAGGAGGAGGAGGAGGAGGCGAGAAGGCGGAGGAGGAGGAGGCGGAGGAGGCGGAGGAGACCACAGATGCACCGTCAAGGCCGTCACAGGTCCCTGCATCTAGTTCTCTCCAGCTGCGGGAAGAGCCCCGCCCCCGACAGGCGCGAACGCCCCAGGGACCTGCAAGAGTCAGGCGAGAGGCCCCGTGGCGAAAAACCGTCCCCCCACTCAATCCGTCCAGCGGTAGGAGCTACAGCGATGTGGGCTCACAGGGTCCCAGGAGGAGGAGAGGAGGAGGAGGAGGAGGAGGAGGAGGAGGAGGAGGAGGAGAGGAGGAGGAGGAGGAGGAGGAAGAGGAGGAGGAGGAGGAGGAAGAAGAGGAGGAGGCGGAGGAGGAGGAGGAGGAAAAGGAGGAGGAGGAGGAGGAAGGAGGAGAGAGGAGGAGGAGGAGGAGGAGGAGGAGGAGGAGGAGGAGGAAGAGGAGGACGGGGAGGGCGACTGCGTGCGTGGCCCGCGGGGTGGTTGCAAAGCCCGGTTTTCGCTCTGCGTGGCCCGGGCACCCCTCCTGCCAGGGCTGGCTTACCATCTGAGCGAAGATCAAATGACTCCTGTGGTTACTCTGGTTATATTGGCCTCATCGCACTTCAGAACCACATCCCAGAACTAACTTCGAGTACACCCAAAAAAATCTCGAGACGGTGTCGAACGAGTATCGCCTCCCAGAGCCCGACACGCGAACATCCTCAAGTTTCCATGCTCTCTTGGTGCTCGAAATTCTTTCTGGTGGCCAAGGCTAAAGCAGGCTGGAACATCAGAATTTTCAGGGCTTCTTAATAAGCGTGGGGGGGGAACCCCCCCACGGGGGCCAAGCTCGCCTCGTCCATCGTCGCGCCGCGACGGGGGCCGGAGCGCCTTCGGCGCGCTGTGGCTGCCCGCGACGGGGGTCGAAGTGGGGTTGTCGGCGGGGGCGACGCCGCCCCGACGCTTATAGCCTCTGGGCAACCCTTACACAAGGTCACGTTCCCGCCCAGCAGGGAGCGGACACCATCACCCATCCTGGTGCGCGTTGAAAACGACTTGGGGGCAGTAGCACTGCATGAATGGTCATGGCGGTGACGAGGCAGTGGCAGCAGTGGTAACAGCAACAATCATAATCGTGGCAGCGCTAGCTAAGAGGGTGTGTGGTAGCCTATGCCTGTTTGGAGTACGCTGCGTTCCCTGTGTGTCATGACTGCTGTTGTCTTTGTTGCTCTTGCTTGTTTGATGTGTGCTCTCGCTTGCCTGCCGTGCTGATGCACTGTAGTGCTCGTGAGAATCCCCATCACGAGCAGGCGGAGGCAGCGGATAAGCCCATACGCGAGGCTGGCAAAAATTGGAACGTAAAGAATCCAAACGTACACAACTCATCCTTATGAGGACTCCAAAACAAAACAAAACAAAAACATTGCCAAACTGAATGTGTCTGGGGGTCGTCGGATGGGAACCCAGAACAATCCGGAACCGTTCTGGACACAAAAACTAATCCTGGTGAGGGGTCCGGAAAATCATGTCACGCCTTACTTGGCTATGCACTGGATTCCCAGACCGACGACCCCAGGATGACAAAGTTGGAAACTGATTATTGTTTGATCACTCACAATGATCAGCTTGGTTCTTTGCATCTTCGATTCCTGCTGTTCCCAACCATCCTGTGGTGTTGGGTCTTAGCTTTGAAGACACGGCGCCTCTCTAACAGTCCGCATGCGCCAGAGGCATTGCACCGAGTACTAAGTTAAGTGAAGTGGTGACCCGCGTCTCCTCTCCTTCCTCCCTTCCAGGCGTAGCGGTCCGAAGAATCTCTTTTCGGCACAGCCCGACAGCCGCGACCCAAACCCCAGGCCTCCGAGCGGCCTGGCAAGAATTGGCACTAGGCCGCGGGCTCGGCGCGCTTCGCACTACGATCTCGGGGCCACTCGACGTCGTGAATCTTGGGCTGCAGGTTCTTGTCCGTGGCCTCGGATTGATTTGGGGAACGAACAATGACATGAACATGAAAACTCGGAGCTCCGCGCGGATTCCTTGGACCGGCGCTGGGGCCTCCTGGCGGCGCCTCCGGCGCCGCCCCTGGCGCGCCCCGCGCGCCAGGGAGGGGAGCCCAGCGCCGATCCGAGAAATCCGCGCGGACGTCAGAGTTTTTACGTTTATGTCACTTTTTGTGCCCCTAATGGTGCTCCAACCTATTTTGCCTCGATCGCCAGGCGTATTTTCGATCACGAGAAGCGCCACGAGGAGCGCCTCGGGAGGGGGGTCCAGCGCGGATCACGAGGAGCGCCACGAGGAGCGCCAGCAGCAGGAGGAGGCCTGCTGCCAGCACGCCGACGCCTGGATGCCAGCCGCGTCTGCTGTTCTTGCCCTGGATGCTTCGCACGTTGTTGCTTGGCCTCGGACAGCGCCTGCGCCAGGGATTGCATGTGCTTGGCGAGCTCCTGCCTTCTGTTGGTGAGCTCCTCTTGGTCGGCCGCTTCCAACTCGTAGTCTTCTCCAGAATCGAGCAACTCATCTTCTGCAAAAGCGGGCCCCCGAGCGGACCCGTAAAAGACGGCCCTGAGGCTGATCTTGTTCTCGGAGCCTTTGGAGTCGGACTTGGGGGGTGGCTGCCAACGGCGGACTGGCATTCTTCGGCGAGGCCCTGCTTGTACTCCTGCTCTGCAGCGTCAAACTCTCGAATTAGTTGTTGGACGCATTCGGGCTGCTTTGCCGTCTGGTCCTGGAATTTGCCAGCGTCTCCGTGGCCTGAGTGAACTTGCGCTCGGCAGTGGTTGCCTTGCGCTGTGCTGCTGGTGCTGCTGCTCGCTGGGGGACTGGCTTGCCTTCTCGACTGAGCTCGGCGATCTTGCCTGTGTACTTGGCGACTGCGTTTGGGTCTCCCATCTGGGCGGCGATGCCCACGAGCTTCTGCAGGTCCTAGACTAAAATCTGGCCCGGGGCTTTACCACAGCTCTTGGCTCGATTCCGCTCGCTCGGTCGCCATGGGGGTCCCTAGGCGCGCCCTGTTCGGTCGACGCGCCCTGTTCGGCAACGCTTGCATCCTGTCCTGCGTTGCAGGTTCTGTCCACACCCGCATTTGCTGCAAATCCACTTGTCGCTGGCAGTCTGCCCACCGCCTGCGCCCTCCGACCGTTAGGGGGCCACATGCAAACCCTATCCCCTACCCCCCACGATTTCTGAGGGGGAAGGTGGGGTTCATTCCGTTCGGGAGCTCTCGAGCGAAGTGAACCCCACCTTCCCCCTCAGAAATTGTGGGGGGTAGGGGTAGGCTTCGCATGTGGCCCCCTGACCGTGACCACGCACGTAGTGGGACACACTTATTTACGGGCACGATCGCCGGCCTGGATATGGATGCGTCGGGCGCTCCCTTGACGGCTGTCGCACGTCATTGGAGACCACAAATTCGAGACCCCGCGACGACGGGCTCGCACTTGAGCAGCCAAAATCGTCACTGCCGCCCCCCCCCCATCCCTCCGCCTCACGCACCACCTTCTCCTCTCCTCCTTTTCCTCCTCGTCCTCCTCTTCCTTTTCCTCCTCCTCCTCCTCCATCCCTCGTCCTTATACATATTTCCTCCCTGTCGCGCCCCCAGACGTGTCAGTAGGACGGGCTGGGCGTTTCGCCTGAGGCTTCCTCACAAGATTCGATGCTGAAGCTTGGCATGTGCAACAACTTCCAGGATGAAGGGCGGCACGCTTTCAACATGTAATTATCGCCTAAGCAACGCGCACATTGGTGTCGAAGGTTCGCAACCGTGTCAAGGATTTAGGGCGGCACATGTCTAAATGTGGTTCCCGCCTTTGCGCCGCGCGCGTTCGTCTTCAAACGTTGCACATGTCAGGGATGGAGACAAGTCCCTTTCCAAAACGCGGCTCTCGCCTTAGCGTCACGCTTCTTCGTCTTAAGAGCTTACACCTGCTTCAAGGATTCGCATGGTTGAACAAGTCCCAGTAATTTGTTGCTGGCACGACTTAGGATTGTCAGGTCGCAACAGTTACGTTGATTCGCGGAGTTGGAGTCCCAGTTGCTCTGTGATGTGGCGATGTATTATTATCAGGACGCAACAGTCACGGTGATTCGTGGCGTTGGGGGCCCACGAACGCAGGGTTTTCAGACGGTTGTCTTCCAATGGGACACCTCCATCCATGAAAAGGACACACTGCAAGGGGACCTATGAGAAGAGACTTCGGTGAGAACGCTTAACGCAACATCGCTGGTCATCTTCCTTCCTTTCCGTTGACCAGACCTTACGCTGACGCTTGTGGCGTTCTTGAAGTGCGACAACAGAAGAACAAGGTAGACGACTCGGCGCAAGGAGTACCTGGCGGGCGCCGCAGATAAGGCGGTAAGTCAGGACAGCGAAAACGCATGAGTAGGGTACTAAGGTCCCGCCAGGTAAAGCAGCATGTACCTTAGTGGTTAAGTCCTCCTCCTCCTCCTCCTCATCCTCCTCCTCCTCCTCCTCCTCCTCATTGTCCTCTTCCGCCTCCGCGCTATTTCACTCCTCGTCATCAGTACCATTGCCCCCCAGGACCCCGCGAGAAGGAGATGCATCCTGCCGCAGGTCCGCCAGCTCTCGCTCGCGGGAGGCCTCCAGCGAGCGCTCCAGGTGCGTCCGCTCCTCTGGGAAGGCGCGGCGAAGAGAAGGGAATCGCCGTCGCCATCGCGGGGCACGAGGGGGGGAGGAGAACAGGGGAGGGGAGGCGGAGGGGAAAGGGGGCAGGCGGTGCGGGAAAGGAACAAAAAGGGAGGGGGGGTGCAGGAGGACGGAGGGGGGCGGGAGGAAGCAGGAGAAGGAGAAGGAGGAAGAGGAGGAGGAGGAGGAGGAGGAGGAAGAGGTCGCCGTCGTCGCCGGCGTGGACGCCGAAAAGGGTGTCGAGGGACGAGGACGAGGACGAGAACGAGGGAAAAAAGACGAGGTGGAGAAGGAGCGGGAAGAAGTGGAGGAGGAGGAGGAAGGAGGAGGAGGGACAGGAAAGTAGGAAGAGGAGGAGGAGGAGGAGGAGGAGGAGGAGGGAGAAGAAGGGAGCAGGCAGGGGAGGGGGGGGGAGGGGGAGCCTGCTGCGCTCGAGTCGAGGAACGCTCACGCCCCGTCGCGTCTCCACGCCACGCAGGGTGCAGAAAAAGAGAGAGAACTGCGCGGCAGCCGCGGCGCCGCGAGGCGGCGCCTCGTTCCTCGAGGGCGCGCGCCCGCGCGCGCCGCAGTGCTGCGAGGGCCGGGCGCTGGGCCGGCCGTGGACTCGATGGGCCCGGGTGCGCAGCGGCGTCTGAGAGGGCGGCGGGCCGTCTTCGAAGGCAGCGCGCAGAAGGCATCTACTTACCAGCCTGGAATATATCCCTATCCCCATGCTGGGCATCTCCTCGTCACGATGCCGATCTTATAGGGATTCCCTCATTTTCTGAGGGCGGATCCCCAAGATCGTCATCGCCTTTTGGCGTGTCGATCTTAGGGATAGGGATAAGTTCGAGGCTGGTAGTCTACACGCGGCCACCTTGCCAAGGCAGGGCCATCCTGGCCCTGGCAGGGGGCCACGAGGGTCCACGCACCGTGCTGCTCGGGGCACGGGATGGCCCTGACCCGGCACGGCGGTGGTGCATGGACGCCTCCGTCGGAGGCAATGGCCTGGGAGGCTGCTCGGGGGGCCGCTTGGAAGCCGGGCGAGCGTCGGAGAAGCCCCCTTTCCATCTTTCTTGGGAAGCCGCCCCTCTCGCGCCGCCCCCCTTGAGGGCGCGGTCGGGGCCCGCCAACTGGGATGGCCTTCCTTGAAGCCCCGCCTCAGCCATCGCCAAAATCCTGGTGTCCGCTCACGTGCCGCACTTCACCGCGCGGCATCTTCGAGTTTGTTCTCGCGCTTCACGACGCCCCCTCCACCTCTTATTCCTGCTCGTGCGCTTGACGTGATAATTACGCATACTTGTCCAGCTCGTCTGGGTCGTTCATGTTGGTCAGGAGCTCCTGGCGTCGGGCAGTGCCTGGTCCTCGGCGACGGCCGCATCCTGGGCCCTGGCGCCAGGCGACGCCTGGCGCAAGGCTGCAAGGCTTCATGCGCCCACTCGTGGTGCCAGCGTGAAGGATCTCCTCGATCTGCGCGAAGTTAAACTCGCCCTAGTTCGAGCAGTAGAACAACGGGGAGTACTGCAGGTGTGCCTCAAGACCTTTCGCGAGGGACCCCCCCCCCCGGCCTCGTGGCATGGGTCCACGGGGACGGCGTCCCTGTGTTGTTTTCGACACGCGCGCAGACGGCGAAACGGCGCGGCCGCCGGCGCCCCAGCGCGGTGCCGCCTCAGCGGGGCTCCTCCGTCAGCCAGCTGTGCGAGTCGGCGCGCAGCCGAAGAGGCGAACTCCGCCTCGCTGCTCGGCGCCCGGCACTCCTTGCCGTCGCTCGGACGTCCCTCCCCTGTGCAAGTCTCGGCCTCGTGCGCCTCCTCTTCGCCCAGGACGCTTCTCCCGCCGTCGCCGAGACAGGCCTTGGTGCTCGAAAATACTCCTGGCGATCGAGGCGAAAGTAGGTTGGAGCACCATTAGGGGCACAAAAAGTGGCATAAGCATAAAAACTCTGAGGTCCGCGCGGATTTCTCGGATCGGCGCTGGACCACCCCCTCCCTGGCGCGCGGAGCGCGCCAGGGGCGGCGCCGGAAGCGCCGCCGGGGGTCCCAGGCGCGGATCCGGGAATCCGCGCGGACCTCCGTTTTTTTCTCCCCTCATCATAGCCCTATGCCCATTCCCCCCTGTCGCTGCCCCTGATAGGAGGCCATGTGGCCCCCTACCAGGGGCAGCATGTGGCTCCCTACCTGACTCCCCCTCTCCGCCTCGGGCAGCGAGGAACGAAGAATGAGGAGGAGGCGGAAGAGGAGGAGGAGGAGGCGGCGGAGGAGGAGGAGGAGGAGGAGGCGGAGGGGAGGAGGAGGAGGGGGAGGAGGAGGAGGAGGAGGAGGAGGAGGAGGAGGAGCGGGAGGAGGAGGAGGAGGGGGAGGGGGAGGAGGAGGAGGAAGAGTAGAGAAAGAGGAGGAGGAGAGGAGGAGGAGAGGAGGAGGAGGAGGAGGAGGACGACGACGACGACGAGGGCGCCGACTGCACGCCTGCTCCGATCCCTTTGCCAGGCCAAGTCTGGGCCCAGGCTCTGTGCACACGCCCTCCTGGAGGCAGATACACCATTCCTAGGCTCAGGATCTGGCCCCTCCTCCCTCCTCCCTCATCCCTCCGCGAGCGACTGCGAATCTGCGGCCCTGGACCCTTACGCACTCAGGGGGACCAAGCGAAACCCGAAGAAGCTAGTTCTGCATGTTTCTCCTCCCGCGCCCCAGCTCCCCCCCCGCCTTCCCGCACGAGTTCTCACACTCCTCGCAGGCGATACTTCGCCAGTCACTCTTCTCACCACAGTCAGTGGCTTGACTACCCTTCTCGCCAAGATTATTCTTCGCCTGCCTCCAGGACTCCGGGCGATCCTGCTCTCGATGGCCGCGTCTCCCTCCTCCATCCTCCCTCCTCCCTGCTCCCTCCCTCCTCCCTCCCTCCCTCCCTGCCTCCCTCCCTCCCTCCCTCCCCCTCCGCCCTCCTTGCCAGCATCGGTGCAGGTGCAAAACACGCGCCCCGATTCATCCATGATAACCGTCGGCTCCAGGGACCTGCCCGAGGGGGGAGAAGTGCGACCAAAACTTTTCAAGGCGGGTGCGGCCGCGGCCACGAGGGGGCTCGCTGTGGGAGCCCCGACGGGCGCCCGGAAGTACCGCCATCCTCGAACCTCGATCTGCAAATCCCGATCCTCGAATCTTCGAGCCTCGATCCCCGATCCTCCAACGACGCTCCTCGATCCTCGAACCTCGACCCTCGAAGAGCCATCCTCGACCCTCAAGCCACGATATTCCTTTGCTCGATCCTCGATCCGCAAGCCTCGTTCCTCGATCCTGGGCGACGGCGACGGCGACGACGGCGAGGGCGAGCTCCTCGGAGACGACGCGCGATCGGGCCGTGAGTTCGTCCACCTGCGCGGCCGGGGGCCGCGCCGGCCCCGGGCAGGAACGCATCAGGAGGAGGAGGCCCCTTCGCGCGGAGGGCGGCCCTGGCCGCTCCAGGGAGGACGTCGTCGTCGTCGTCGCCGACCTTATCTTCAACCTGCTCCTCCTCCTCCTACCCCTTCCCCTCCTCCTCCACCTCCTCCCTCCTCCCAATACTCCCCCTCCTCCTCCTCCTCCTCCTCCTCCTCCTCCTCCTCCTCCTCCTCCTCCTTCCCCTTCTCCCCTCCTCCTCCTCCTCCTCCTCCAGCTCCTCCTCCTCCTCCTCCTCCTCCTCCCCATTCCTCCTCCTCCTTCCCCCTCCTCCACCTCTTCCTCCTCCTCCTTCCCCTCCTCCTCCGCCTCCTCCTTTTCTTCTTGTTATTATATGTATATAATTCGTTTTATTCGAATTAGTTCATCGTAACAAATTTAATGTTACTATTAGTGTAAGTATTGTTCCTCCTCCTCCTCCTCGTCATCATCATCATCATCATCATCATCATCATCATCATCTCATCATCATCATCATCATCATCATCATCATCATCATCAGCATCAGCATCAGCATCAGCATCAGCATCAGCATCAGCATCATCATCATCATCATCATCATCATCATCATCATCATCATCATCATCATCATCATCATCACCATCGTCCTCCTCCTCCTGCTCCTCCTCCTCCTCCTCCTCCCCTCTTCCCTGTCTCCCTGCCTGCTCCTCCCTCCTCCTCATCATCATCTCCTTCTCCTTTCTCCTCCTCCTCCTCCTCCTCCTCGTGTTCCCATCCTCCTACCCTATCCTCCCCTCAAAAAATAGAAAAGATGCGAGAGGGAGGGGGAGGCAAAGGAGGGGGAGAAAGAGGAGGAGGAGGAGGAGGAGGAGGAGGAGGAGGGCGGATGGGGATAAAGGAGAAAGAGTAAGATGGAGAGCAAGGAGGAGCAGGAAGGAGGAAGACACACAGGAAGGATGAGGACGAGGAGGAGGGAGGAGCAGTGCCAGCCCACCGCTCTGTTCCTTACATGTGCATCACCAGATGTGTGCGCACGTACACACGAGTGCCAGCGCACCCGCCCACCCACCCAGTTTAGTTGGTGTCCCGATGGCGCTCAGAAAGTCATCCAATCGGCATGCACGAGCACGTGCGCAGAAGTGCACCAACAGCTTGATAAAAATCGCCGCCCCCTTTACCTTTCTCCCGGCCTCATCATCACTTTCTCTCCCGAACCTCAGCCTCCCTCCCCCAACACCCATATCATAATACGCTGTGCCTCCCAGCCACCTCATCATGCTCCCTCTCCCACGTCCCATCCCTCCATCCATTCGCCTCATCCTCAGCATTCCATCCCTCCTCCTTCAACGTATGGCCTCCCATCTACGATTTCATCCTCCCCATTCCCATCAGCTTGTGTTTCTGCCCCATCACAGCATCAACACCATCAGAATGGAAATCGGCATCGTCAGGATCATCCTGCTCCTCCTCATCCTCCTCCTCATCCTCGTCCCCATCGTCATCAGCATCATCAGCAGCAGCATCATCATCAGCAGCAGCATCAGCATGACCGTCATCATCATCATCATCATCATCATCATCATCATCATCATCATCATCATCATCATCATCATCATCATCATCATTATCATCATCAGCATCAGCATCATCATCATCAGCAGCAGCACCATCACCACCATTAGCATCAGCATCATCATCGAGATCATCATCATCATCAGCATCATCAGCATCATCATCATCCTCACCAACATCGTCACCATCATCATCCTAATCATCAGCATCAGCATCATCATCAGCATCGTCATCATCATCACCGGCATTATCATCATGCTTGTAAGCAGCAGCTGCCTCGTCATTGCCAGCATCACCACCACCACCACCACCCACACCACCCCCGCCAACTCCATCATCCTCATTATCAGAAGCAGCCGCAGCTTTAGCTTCGCCACTATCAACATCACCAGCCCCAACACCAACCCAACCAACACCGGCATCGACAGGGTCGACATCGGCATCATCATCATCATCATCATCATCAGCATCATCATCATCATCAGCATCATCATCATCATCATCATCATCATCATCATCATCGTCATCAAAAGCACCAACATCATGTTCACGTTCAGCCTCATCATCCTCAACATCCTCCTCCTCCTCCTCATCATCATCATAATCATCAGCATCATAAGCATCATCAACAGCAGCATCGTCATCGGCATCGTCATCGTCGTCGTCGCCAGCATCATGATCGTCATCATCAGCATCATCGTCGTCATCATCGTCATCAGCATCATCACTATCATTAGCAGCATCATCATCAGCAGCAGCATCATGATATTTACCCACAGCAGCCACAGCATCGTTGTCACACCCATCAGCCAACATAGGAATGATCATCGGACTTGGCAACGGCATCGTAATCATCGCCAGAATCAGTATCCTCAGCAATATGATCATCATCATCATCATCATCATCATCATCGTCATCAGCAGCAGCGACAGTACCAGCAGCGCCAGCATCATCAGCATCATCAGCATCATCATCATCAGCATAACCATCACCAGCATCATCATACTCATCATCAACATCATCATCAGCAGCAGCAGTAGCAACATCATCAACATCAGCAACATCACCAACATATTCGTCACCAACAAATCAGGATCACCATCAGCATCATCATCGTCATCATCAGCAGCATCATCATAATCATCATCATGATCATCGTCAGCATCATCATCAGCTTCATCAGCATCATCAGCATCATCATCATCAGCATCGCCACCACCAACAGCATCATCATCAGCAGCAGCATCATCATCAACGTCGTCATCATCATCTGCAGCAGCAGCCGCAGCAGCAGCATCAGCAGCAGCACCATCGTCATCATCGTCACCAGCATCATCACAACCATCATCATCAGCAGCATCAACAACATTAGCAGCGTCACCAACATCATCATCATCAGCATCAGCACCATCATCATCATCATCACCAGCATCACCATCGACGACAGCAACATCATCATCAGAATCATCATCAACATGATCATCGTCGTCAGGATCAGCCGCAGAAGCATCCGTATCATCATCACTCTCACCATCAGCATCGCCATCGGCATCAGCATCATCACCATCAACGACAGCATCATCATCACTATCACCATCCCCATCAGCACCATCATCATCATCATCATCATCATCATCGCCAGCATCAGCATCCTCATTACCATCGTCATCATCGTCATCCTCATCCTCATCAGCATCATCATCATCATCATCATCATCATGGTCCTCAGCATCATCATCATTGTCATCGTCATCAGCATCATCATCATCATCACCACCATCATCATCATCATCATCGACATCATCATCACCACCACCACCATCACCACCACCACCACCACCACCACCACGTCGTCGTCGTCGTCGTCGTCGTCGTCGTCGTCGTCGTCGTCGTCGTCGTCGTCGTCGTCGTCGTCGTCGTCGTCGTCGTCGTCGTCGTCGTCGTCGTCGTCGTCGTCGTCGTCGTCGTCGTCGTCGTCGTCGTCGTCGTCGTCGTCGTCGTCGTCGTCGTCGTCGTCGTCGTCGTCGTCGTCGTCGTCGTCGTCGTCTCGTCGTCGTCGTCGTCGTCGTCGTCGTCGTCGTCGTCGTCGGTCGTCGTCGTCGGTCGTCGTCGTCGTCGTCGTCGTCGTCGTCGTCGTCGTCGTCGTCGTCGTCGTCGTCGTCGTCGTCGTCGTCGTCGTCGTCGTCGTCGTATCGTCGTCGTCGTCGCGTCGTCGTCGTCGTCGTCGTCGTCGTCGTCGTCGTCGTCGTCGTCATCATCATCATCATCATCATCATCATCATCATCATCATCATCATCATCATCATTATCGCATGCGGTTGTGGTGCACTGCGCGCTGTCCACAGGGGGTTCGTCACTGTCATTACCATCACCATGGCCATCCCGCCCCTCCTCCTCCTCCCTCCCTCTTTGCCTTCCTCCCTCCCCGCTCCCTCGCCTTCTTCCTTCATCCTCTTTCTCCTCCTCTTCGTCCTCATGCCCCTCCCTCCACCCAGTCATCCCCGTCTTTCCCCCTCTCTCTCGATAATTACACCAAATGGCGACTACTCTCCCCTCTCCCCCGAAGACTGCGGTGAGGTGTCCTGGCCTCCTCCGCGCATTGTTTCTTCACACACAGGATGCCGCCGAATTGAAAATTAATGTGTTGTTCCAATCCGACCATTTGTCCCGCTCTCGGTCCTCCCACAAAAAATGTTCCCGCTGTAGCGCTGACCTCATGTCAGTGTTTCGGCTCTTCCAAATCGCGTTCCTTCTGCAGCGTTGGCTTCGTTTCCGCGCTTCCAGTCCTTCCAAATCGTGCTCCGGCTGCAGCGCTGGTCTCATTCCCGCGGTTTCGCATCGTGCTCCCGCTGCAGCGCTGATCTCGTGTTGCGCTTCCCGCTTTCCAAACCGTCCGCTTGCATTTCCCGTCCTGCGTCATTTCTGGTTCCCTCCGACCCTGTTGTCGAAATGGGTCGCGCCCCCGACGCGATGACATGCTACACCGTGCTGCACCATGCATCGTGCACCCTCTTGGGATCATTGCCCTGTTCGGCATCCGACTGTGCGAATATCGGGGGTGCACAAAAATGGATTAGCGATCCATGGATTTGGCGAGCGGTCGCCAAACCCATGGATCGGGGGAGGTGCCCTCCCCAAAACGCGGCCCGTGCCGCCTCGCTCGGCGGCGGAAATCCGCGACTCCCCGCGGAAACGAGACTCGTCGCTGAACCACGCCCCCTTGATCCGAGTCTGCGATCGCCTGAAAAAATAGAGAAGAGCCCTGCGCAAGGGTACGGGATGGGAGGGAGGGGCGGGACGTCATATATTTGAGGGATGAAAGGACGACCCGACCCTGGGTTACAAGTGCGTGGTCGGTAAACCTTCTGGGACCCCCCAAAGCCTAGGGCCGCCAGGACGCGGCACATCACGCAGGGGGGTTACCGCGTCAGCCCACGGACGTTTCAGCGCACAGCGCCTCGTAAACCAGGGTAGGGGCGTGTTTGATGCCCTTGATATATGTTACCAGTTTGAAACATCTCCCTATCCCTATGTTTGATATCACCTCACCTCGATGCCGATCTGAAGGATTCCCTCAGTTTCTGAGGGCCTATCCCTAAGATTGTCCTCGCTTTTTGCTCGCCCATCTTAGGGATAGGGATACGCTCGAGGCTGGTTAATATGGCGCTTGTACACCTGGCCTGCCCCCTCCCCCGCTCTGCCTGCCGCCCCCCCCCCCCTCCAACACCAGCTGCCCTGCGACGTGCCCGACCCACCTGCGCCAGGTAACACCGAAGGGGCCCAAGGACACACAACTAAATACACACACACATAACATAATTCTCCATAGTTTCCCATATGTTCTGGGTTTTTGTCTTCCGCCCCATTTCCCATATTCTCCCATATTTTCTGGGGGATCGGCGATTCATTGTGTCTGTGTTCCTCCCTCCTGAAGCAAGAGGAGTTGGCCCAATCTTGCCAGGACAGTGGCGGTGCAGGCGCCGTTATGTGTTGCGCAAACTAAATGCGGTGCCATCACGGGGCACGATTCACAGGACGACAGCAGCAGGACGAGGAAAGAGAGGGCCCAGGCGTGAGGAGGACACGGGGGCGGGAGCCGAGGGCAGGACAAGGGCGCGCGGGGGGGCCGAACCGTCAGCGCGGCAGCAGCAGAGGGAAGGTGGCAAGGGGCAGAGGACGACGACGAAAGTGACGGGAGGAGACCGAAGACCGTTGCTCTCGGCGGTGTTGCGTTACACATGCAGCGCTGCCTGCGCCATGAAGCTGCGGCGCTCGAATGATTGATCAACTTAATTAATTCTAGAAGCGAGCGAGGCCTAGCTCGCCAGCCAGCTTCCCTGTTTCCTTCCTGCACCTGCCAGTGCGGGAGCTAAACCCTCGAAGGCGCGCCGCCAGGTCTGCGAGCGGCCCGCGACAGCGCCCCGCTGGACCCCCAGCAGCTTTCGAAGGTGGCGACAGTTTCGCAGATCGCAGCCCCCCCCCCCAGGGATGGCGAGGTCTAATCTGAATCTGCGGCGGGTACCCACTATGCTGGTCCCCCCAGCAGCCTTCTAAAGTGGCGACAGTTTGCAGATCGCAGCCCCCCAAGGATGGCGAGGTCTAATCTGAATCCGGGTGGTGCTTCACTCCGCTGAACCCCCCAGTAGTCCTCGACATTGGCGACAGTTTCGCAGAACGCAGCCCCCGAAGGATGGCGAGGTGAAATCTGGGTCTGGGTGGTGCCTCACTCCGCTGGCCCCCCCAGCAGCCCTCGAAAGTGGCGACAGTTTCGCAGATCAATGCCCCCCAAAAATAGCGAGGTCGAATCTGAATATTCGTAGGACGTCATTCGCTGGCCCCCCCGAAAGTGGCGACAGTTCCGCAGATCAATGCCCCCCAAAAATAGCGAGGTCGAATCTAAGTCTGCGGCGGGTACGCAGTGTGCTGGCCCCCCCCAGCAGCCCTCGAAAGTAGCGACAATTTCGCAGATCGCAGCCCCCCACAGCCCAAGGATGGCGAGGTCTAATCTGAATCTGCGGCGGGTACCCACTATGCTGGCCCCCCCAGCAGCCCTCGAAAGTGGCGACAATTTCGCAGATCGCTGCCCCCCCCCCAGGGATGGCGAGGTCTAATCTGAATCTGCGGCGGGTACCCACTATGCTGACCCCCCCAGCAGCCTTCGAAAGAGGCAACAGCTTCGCAGATCGCAGCTCCCAAGGCATGCCAGCTTCACACTTCCCAGGCCCCACAGGCAAGCCACCAGGCGCACAGGAGAGGAGAAGAGAAGGGAGGCGGGGAGGAGGAGGAGCAGGAGGAAGGAGGAGAACGGAGACCGCTCTATTCAAAACGAGAACCCAACGCAGGAGGGTTGGGAAAAACCTCCTTGGAGCCGCCTCAGGCCGCCAAAGAACAATTTCAAACCCCGACGAGCTCCCTCATCCCTGCCTCCCTCCCCCCCCCCGCCTCCCCCACTCCCCACCACTCTTCATCCTCCTCCTCCTCCTCCTCCTCCTCCTCCTCCTCCTCCTCCTCCTCCTCCTCCTCCTCCTCCTCCTCCTCCTGGCTGCCTGCCTGCCTGCCTGCCTGCCTGCCTGCCTGCCTGCCTGCCTGCCTGCCTGCCTGCCGGCCTGCCGGCCTGCCTGCCTGCCTGCCTGCATGCCCGCCTGCCTCCTCCGACCACGACGGCGGCAGCCGGCGGCGGCAGCGAGGGCAACGAGGGCGGCGACGACGGCGACGACGGCACTCGGCGAGGGCGGCGGCGAGGGCGACGGCGGCGACGACGGCGGCGGCCGCAGGACCAGCGCGCGCACGGCGGCCGGGCCTGGCGCCGCGCCTGCGCCAGGCCCTCCTCGCTGGCCCGCAGGCGCTCCCGGAGGTCGGAGGCCTCGCAGCGGGAGCCCGTCGGCGTCGCCATCGCCGGGGTCGTCGTCGTCGCCGTCGTGGTCACGGTCGTCGCCGTCGTCGCCGTCGTCGCCGTCGTCGTCGTGGGAGGAGGAGGAGGAGGAGGAGGAGGAGGAGGAGGAGGAGGAGGAGGAGGGAGGAGGAGGAGGAGGAGGAGGAGGA